CATGCAGGGGGTCGGACTCGATGATCTATTGAGGTCCCTTCCGACCCTAACATCTATGAATCTATGAATCTATCCCCCATATGCCTACACACATGCACACAGCCTTGTGCCTCCTCTCACACATACACACAAACAGCCCACTGCCTACACACACACGGCACACCCCTGTGCCTCCCCTCTTTCTCTCTCTCACACACACAGACACACACACATCCACATACACCCCTTCATACACACACATACATGAATGCACACACACCCTGTGCCTCCTCACACTCACACACACAAACATATGTATCTCTTCACAAACAAATACACCCGTGTACCTCCTTTCACACAAACACAAACATACAAAAACACAGCGCCCCCCTATGCCTCCTCACAGACACACACGGACACACCCCTGTGCCTCCTCACATACATAGAAACACACCAGTGCTCGTCTCACACACACACACACACACACACACACACACGCACACGCACACACACACCCTGTGCCTCCTCACATACACTGGACACTGGCACACAGCCTGGTGCCTCCTCTCTCACACACACAGACACATGCAGACACATCCCAGTACTTCATCTCGTGCATGTACACAGACACAGACACACACTCATCCCCTGTGTCTCCTCACACACACCCGCATAGAGCCCGGTGCCTCCACATGCGCGCACACACACCCCTCTGCCTCTTGATAAGCACATACATACATATAGGCACACACCCGTGTCTGCTTACACTCACACACACACACACACCCCTGTGTGCCTCACCACACACACACACAACTATTTGTGTCCTCATAAACACACACACACTCACCTGTGCCTCCTCACACACACATCCCACAAACACCCATTACCTCTACGAATACACGTGCACACAGCCCAGTGCCTCCTCTCTCTCACACAGTCACACCCCAGTGCCGCATCTCGTGCTCATACACATTTACACAATGCACAGACTTCTGTGCCTCCTCACACACACACACACACACACACACACACATACACAGCCTGCTGCCTACACACACACACACCACACACCCCTGTGCCTCCCCTCTCTCTCACACACACAGGCACACACACATCCACATCCAACCCTCTTCATACTCACACGTACATGAATGTACACACACCCTGTGCCTCCTCACACTCAAACACACAAACCCATGTGCCTCTTCACACAACACACAAAAACACCCGTGTGCCTCCTCTCACACAAATACAAACATACAGAAAAACACCCCATGCCTTCTGACACACACACCTCTGCCTATTTACACACACACACACACATGCATGCAGACACACCCTTCTCCCTCCTCTCTCTCTCTCACACACACACACACACACTTACATACACACACCATGTGCCTCCTCACATACACAGAAACACACCAGTGCTTGTCTTGCGCACACACACACAGCCCGGTGCCTCCTGACAAACATGCACATGAAATATCCTTGTGCCTCTCTGTCTTGCTCTCTCTCACCCCCCCACCCTGTGTGCCTCTTGACACACACACAGATGCAACCCTGTACCTCCTAACACACACACACACACACACACACACACACACACACATCCCTGTGCCTCTTCACACACGCACGCAACCCTGTGCCTCTGCACATGGACACACACATACAGACACCCTGTGCCTCCTCACATAC